ATGCGAAACAGCTTCTGCATGTTAGAGATGTCCTCAAGCAAAGTGGCCATTCTACTATCCGAGGGACTCTAATGTGTTATTTGTCTCATCAATTCCTTGTTGTGTGAGTTGAGCTTAACTCTACTCCACTGTTGTTGCACAGCTTTGCATAAGACCAGTTTTAATGCCACCGCATCATCTAGGACTTTTTTTCCCAAACTTCTCTCTTTTAGCGCCCATTTTGCAATCCTAGTGTTTGGAGTTATCCTAGCTGTGACTCCAATTCCAAGTGAGGTCTGTCCTTGCTGACTTGTTGTTGTCACATCCAGGACTATGGTTCCTTCACCTTCCTGACCCTGGCATTGCTCTGCATGCATGTATGCTGTTTCTTTTGTGCTCATCCTTCCCTTAGATTTCTCAATTTCCTCATGCTCCAGCCATTCTTTGTGAGCTTTTTCGACTGTCCTTACTGGTGAGGAGTTGCTTGAGTTCTCAAATTCTTTTTTGTTTCTATCTTTCCACACTTGCCACAAGATGTTTGCAGTCAGACTATATGTTCCAGCCCTTCCGGTCTTTTCCTTGCCTCAGAAATTCTGATCCACCATCTTTTGAAGTCTCCTTGTTGATCTTTAGCACCATCCCATTGGATAGGGGCAGCCTTCCATATGTCAACAGTGTGTGGACAGCTTAGCAGTAAGTGTTCTACCGTTTCTTGTTCCTCCCTACAGGTTCTGCACATTGGATCTCCTAGTGCTGTCTTCTTGTGTATTGCTTCTCTTACTAGCAATGCACCTTTTATAAATTTCCAGATGAAGATCTTGATTTTGTGTTTGATGTTGAATTTCCATAGGGTGTGCCACATCTGTTTAACTTGTTGGCTTCCATCTGAGTAACTTGTACCAGCTGCATCAGTTTTGCATTTTTCAACACAATTATTTTCTTCCATCAAGATTCTATAGCCTGAGCTGACTATATATGTCCCTCCTGCTTGTGGTTGCCAATAATAACTGTCCTCCCTCCCTGACAAGCTTAGTGGAATGTTTAGGATCCTCTCTGTATCATTGTTGTTGAAAGTTCTAAAGATGATATTCCTCTTCCACCTTTTATGACAGATTAGCTCATTCACCGTCTTCAAGTCACAGTTTAGAGGTCTACTGGAAGTTGGTTTACCAGTGGTTGCCCCTGGTATCCATTTGTGTTCCCAAATGCTTGTACTCCTTCCATTTCCAATTCTTCTGATCAGACCTTTATCAATTAAACTTCTGGTTCCCATTAAACCTTGCCAGATCCAAGAGGCATTCTTGAGTGGTTTGCATTTTAAAATGGATTCCTTAGGGAAGTATTTGGCTCTCAAAACTTTACTGACCAGGAGGTTTGGTTTGGTGAGAATCCTCCAAACCTGCTTCCCTAACAGTGCTTTATTGAAAGCTTCTAGGTCCTTAAAGCCCAATCCTCCTTCATTTCTCTTCATTGCCATTTTCCTCCAAGAAATCCAATGCATTTTGTTATTGCCATTTGTTTCTCCCCACCAGTAGTTGGCCATCAATGCGCTAATATCTTTGCAGAGTTTCCTTGGTAGCTTAAAGCAGGACATGGCATACGTTGGCATTGCCATTGAAACTGCCTTCAGCATTACTTCTTTTCTTGCTGTGCTAAGAAGCTTGTTTTTCCAGTCATGCAACTTTCTCTTTATGTTTTCTCTGATGAAGTCAAAGATCGGATCTTTTGTTCTCGAGATCACGATTGGAAGTCCTAAGTATTTCCCTTGGTTTGCTTCTACCATTCCTCCCAGTGATTTGCACACTTCCTTTCTTTGCTCATAGGACATGTTTTTACTAAAAAAGACTGCAGATTTGTCAAAGTTGATCAATTGCCCTGAGGCCACTTCATAGGTTTTGAGGACTTTCATAATTTCGGTGGCCTGTTGCATGTTAGCTTTACAGAAAATGAGGGAGTCGTTTGCAAAGAAAAGGTGGGTGATGATAGGTCCTTGCTTGCTGATTTTCAGTCCTTTTATTTTGTTGCTTTCTTCAGCTTTCCTCAGCGAGTTATAAAAGCCTTCTGAGCAGATTAAGAATAAGTAGGGAGACAAGGGATCTCCCTGACATATTCCCTTCTTGGTGTTACAAAGACTTTAGTTTCTCCATTGCAGTTGAAAGAATAGGTGACAGTCTTCATACAGCTAGTGATCCAGTTGATCCATTTTGTACAATAGCCCATCTTCTGCATCATTGCCTGCAAAAAATGCCACTCCACCCTATCATAAGCTTTGGCCATATCTAACTTGATTGCCATATATCCTTCTTTTCCTTATCTTTTGTTTTTGAGGTAGTGCATGTACTCATGAGTTAAGATCACATTGTCTAAGATTTGTCTATCTGGGATGAAAGCAGATTGAGTTTTGCTTATGCATTTATCCAAGACAGATTTCAGTTTGTTGGCTATGATTTTGGAAATGATTTTGTACATCACACTACAAAGGCTGATAGGTCTATAGCTTTTCAAACAGGTTGGGTTCAGGATTTTGGAAATGAGTGATATGATAGTATGATTAACAGATTTAAGCATGAAACCAGAACTAAAGAAGGATTGAATTGCTGGGATTAGATCAACCTTGATAGTGCTCCAGAACCTCTGAAAGAACAAATGAGACATACCATCCTGTCTTGGAGCTTTTTCAGGGTGCATGGAGAAAAGTGCAGATTGAATTTCACTCTCCTCTACAGGCTTAGTAAGCTTAGCATTCATCTCCTGAGTGATGGAATGGGGAATACCTTCTAGAATTTCTGACATATCACTACTTCCTCCACTGTTAAACATGTCCCTAAAGAAATCTGAGATTTCAGACACTAACTCATCCTTATTTTCTATCCAAGAACCATCCTCCCTTTGCAGTTTCCTAATCCTGTTGTTCGTTCTTCTCCCCTCGATATAGGCATGGAAGTACTTAGTATTCTTATCTCCATCTCTAAGCCAGCTAATCCTGGCTTTCTGACTCCAGAAATTTTCTTCCTCTTTGTAGGCCTCTTTCAACTGATCTTTGAGTTATGCAATTCTACCTTTTTTGTTTTCTGCACCTGAGTCTCTTACACTCTCCAATTCCTTCTTCAAATCAAAAATTTTACTTTTAGAGTTTGCCTGGAAGGTATTTCTCCATTTCAGAAGCTCAATTCTACAATTTTTTATCTTCTTTGTGATTTTGAACATTCTGAATCCTTGTTCCTCTTTCTGCCAGGCTCTCTCAACCACCTGTTAAACCCCTTCCCTTTGAAGGCATCTTTTATTAAAATAGAACCTTTTTTTCCTTTTTTCTTTATCTGGAACTGTATCTAGCAGGAGCATACTATGGTCAGAAGCATAAGTATCTATGTGCTGGCATCTTGCCTTATCAAAAGTTTGAAACCACTCAAAACTACACAAACATCTATCTAATCTTTGTCTTACCTCTCCTTCATTATCCCAGTGATTGCTCCATGTCCAAGGGTGTCCTTTAAATCCTATGTCTATTAAACTATTCTGGTCCATGAAGTCTTTAAAATCCTTAAAACTCCTTTCCTCTCTGACTACTCCTCCCCATTTTTCTTCGTTAGACAAAATATCATTGAAGTCCCCAGCAATCATGTATCTAGCTCCCCACAGTCTTTTCCTATCACTCAGGACCCTCCACTACTCCTTCCTGGTCTGAGGCTCACAACTAGCATACACACCAACAAACCACCAGTCCATTTGAGTATCATTGTCTTCTATTTAGCTTCATAGGTAAACACTATTTTGTTCACCTCCAAAATATATGCATCCTCCTTCCATAACAGAGCCATTCCTCCTGTCTTGTTCATTGCTTCTACTACTGCACCACTATCAAATCTAAGGCCTTTAACCACTCTATCTATGACTTGTTTCCTATTCTTAGTCTCACTTAAAATATCAGATTTGGAGAGGAGAGGTTATTCACCTACCTCAGATGGGGAACTGTCAAGGGGCTCCCCACTCCTTGGCAGCCCCTTGACAGTTCCACACCAAGACTCTCATTTCCCTTGGGGGGTCCCATTAAGGAAGGACCCCACCTCCTCTCCAATCATCTCAGTTGGATCAAGTTCATCCGCTAGTTTGGCCTTTTTCCATAACACTGTAACCTGGCTTACTTCCTCTATTTCTTCATCTCTGATCAGTGCCTTCCTTTTGCCAATACTTAAATGGTTATTTTCATTTCCATTTATTTCCTTCAAAGGCCTTCTAGTTTTAGTTGGAGACTTCAACTTTTTGAATGTTCTTTTGGTCTGCTTCTCAATAGCTTCCTGTACTATCACATTCCTTTGGGGCTCTTCCTGTATCACTTCCTCCCCTGCAGCTTTCTCATTCATTCTATTTTCTTGATCCTTCGCTCGAAAAACTGTTTCTCTGTCCTCCTCCATATCTTCTACCTCAACTAGAATTTGGTTCTCTTCTTCCTCCTGTGCTTGTTGTGGGAGGTCTTGTTTTCCCTTATCTAGGTACAGGGGGCCATTACTGTACTCTTGTGCAGGTTCTCTAGCTTCTAGTCTATATGGTGAACCTCCTAGACCATGCTCAATTCTCATATCCTCCAACTCCTTCATAAGATCCTGATTGCCTTTTCTTTCTTTTCCTGTGATCTTAAGAGTTTCCAAGAAGCTTTCCTTCAACTGTGTCCTGGTTCTCTCTTGCTCAATCATTTCTCCATTCTGGAATTTCCAGTAACTTTTGTCATTTGGCATGTCAGTCCTCACTGGTTTTTTCTGTGGTGAATTTTTGTTATTTCCTACTCTCAACCAGGGCCCATACTGGTTCTCTGAAATGCTTCCTGATATGACTCTCTTATCTTTGCATGACCGTTCACTGTGACCTACTATTCCACAACTATAGCAAAAGTCTGGGCATCTTTCATACTTAAAGGCTACCCATTTGATAAACCCTGTCAATTTCACCATTGTTCCTCTGAGAAGGGGCTTTGACAAATCTGTTAAGGCTAAGATTTTCAAATGTCTACCCTCTTTACCCCCTGTCTAAGGAATTGGGACCTCTTTTACTTCTTTGAACACAGCCCCAATCTTTCTACCTACCTCTTTGGTTAGCCAGTGTACTGGCAGGTTCCATATCTGTACCCACAGAGGTGCAGTCACAAAGGCTCCATAATTCTCTTCAATTCCTTCTGACCACCTGTTCAACACTAATATTTGACTATCTATCATCCAAGGGCCTCCTTCTACAATTCTGTCTTTGTCGTCTAGATTAGGGATGTTGAACTGAAACAAGTTAGGCCCCAGTTCCATCACTGTCATTTTTCTAGGATACCCCCATGCTGCAACCACAAAGTTCTTAACCCCTGTGAAGTTTGCTACTTTGTCTCCCATAATTCTCCCTATTAGGCTACCTTCACATTCCCTCACTCCACTATGTAGATCTTCAAGCTCTAGCGTAGCTCCTGAGAGCTCATTCCCAGCAAGAGAGAATTTTTGCATCAGCTCAGTCAGGTCACCCTCCATTGATAGTACCAGTCTTTCTAGGCAGTATTTCCTTCTCCACACTCAGGAGAGTTTGAAGTTACTATAGGAAAGGGAGCAAGACACTACTATAAGAAAACTAATCTATTCCCACTAAAGTCAGGGAAAAAACTACTACAAGAACAGAACTAGCTCTTGTATAAAACATAAAAGTTGTAGCTTTGAGTTAGCTTTCCAATGTATCAAGAATCATCCAATTTAGAACTCTGTATACTGATAAATGACCAAAATACCTTTGACTGGTCAGCGCTCTATTTCAGCTTTCGATCATGAAATTGCACTTCTGTATTTCGACTTTTTGACAATGAAAATGACTGAACTGGACTTCGATGTCTTCATACCAAATGTAGATCTATCTCTTAGCTTCAAAATGGTATAAAAATCACCTCAATTCAATACTTGTATCTCAAGATATAGCCGAAATACCACAAGGTATCAAAGATGTCTTCATTTGTATTTCATCATTTGAGTATTTTGCACTTCATGTCTTTTTTTTATCACTTCAAATCATCATCAATTATCCAATTATCTTCTGAAATCACTCCAATTGATGATTGAATCATTAAATCTACAAAAACATGAAGTTTTTACAATTAAAATTCATAAAAATGTAATTTTTACCACTTAAACCACAAAATGCATATTTTCACTAGAAAATTAGTTAATTAGCTATAAAAGTAAATAAAATACACCAAAACTAAAGAATAAAACACACAAAAAACACGTAAAATATATGCTTATCAGCGAGCTCTACAGGAAGTTAAAGGTTATGTTCAATCATCAGAAAACGCAGCTTTTAATTTACGTATACATTCATAGAACATTGAAAAGCCAAGGGGAGATTAAGTAGACTTCAACTATTACCATGTTATTAAAAAACATGACGACTTTGTTTCTAATTTCAACAACCTTGTTATCAATTCATTTGTCAAATCACATATCTTACAACTAATAATTAGCCGCCGTAACAGTTGAGAGTTTCAATATTGATCACCTAATAGAGAAAAATTTAGCAAAGCTAGCTAACTATTGCCCAATAATAATTGAAATTGGCAATCTTGACTGCTTGGCGCCCCATTATGCATTTCCCATTGGAATTAACATTCAAATAACTACATTTAATATCACCACCATAGTTGGAAAATCACCAAAAATTCAATCTTTTTTAGCAGAATTTAACAAAAAACTAGAGAACTTTGAACATTCAGTTAACCAACACTTGATTAAATAGTTGGATGCTTTATTAGCCCCATTCCTCCAATACAAGTCCTAAAATAAAAACCCACTATGTGATTGTCAGACATTGAATTAATTGAAGCAAATCAAGCAAAAAAAAGTTGATATGTAATAATATATAAGAGGAACTGAACATAATTTCTATGCCAACATGCTCAAACATGATCTTCAGGGATTCAAAACATATTCGTTCTCGAGTTTATGTTACATATTAGTTCGGGGCTTTGAACTAGAAATGATAGACGTGCTTATAATAAGCAGACTACATATAATATAGGGATAATTTCAGAAACCTCCCCTGAGATTTATGACAATATCATTTAGCATCCTTGAAATTTGAAAGATATCGCTTGTCTCTCTTATTTTAAACTTTTTATAACATTATAAATCCATTTTAAAATATATTATTGGAAAAACTCATTTTTGGATAGAGAATTTGTAGTCAATCCAATATTGCCCTTTTCTTCGGCACCATTTTGTTTTCATAACAAATGTAGTTAATCCTTTAAACTTTTAAAAACTTCGCAGATATGGTTTTGCAGTTAAGAATTATAGGATATTAACAAGATTGAAAAACATTTTAATAGTGTTCATGCCATTAGTTGGTGCAATAAATATTAAATTTATAAATTCAAAAGCACTTTTTAGTAAAATAATAACTTCTTTTGATCTTTGAAAACATATCAAATGAGTTTGTAAACATAATTTAATTTTTTTCCAATTTTTCAAAAATTATAATAATTTGAAAAACTCCTCAAGTAGACTATGAACACTTTGTAGTTAATAATATTTTTTTGGCCTGAAAACACCTTAAATATAGTCTTAAAATAAATTATTTATACCTTAAAGCGACTACTGTTATATTGTATCCTGTAAAATTGCACATTCACTCAATTTGTCTATTGATTTCAAGCTTTTGTTAATATACTTTTAATTTTGAAAAAAAAAGTAGGACAACAAAGGGCACTTTTGGAATGAAAACATCTTCTCTCTTCAAAAATGAGTTTGTTAATAATTTATTTTGTAATGGGCCGATAATGTCACAAAAATTAGAAAACAGGGAAGACAAGTGATTTTTTCAAAATTCAAAAGTGCTATAAGTGAAATTGTCAAAAATCTCAAGAGAAGTTTCTAAAATTATCCCTATATTATATGCCTTGCAGTTTTCCTGCCCGTAGTTGAGTGCCCATATTTTTCCACTTTACTTTTGGTTGATTCCAAATATTTTCCAATTTACTGGAAATAATTTTTCTTTTGCATCATCCTCATTCGTTCAGGATATTAAAGAAGGCCATTATTCTCTTTCTTAGTTTAATTTCAAGCGTAAATATGCAACCATTATACAGTCACATTCTCTCTAAGTGCTTTCCAAACGGAGGTATCTCATCAGTATATTAACGGTAATAAGTTATATAGTACAAGAGAGCATGCGATACATGTCAACGTCTCTTAACGTTTATAGTCACCAATCACTCTCTAAACCATCACTAACGGTAGTGGCAGTGGTGTCACCATCAAAGTTCCATCACCAACGGCGATGGCTCTCGTGTCACCACAGGTTTGTAGCCCCTCACCACTCATTTACGCTTCTGTCGGACTTTAACTTTGGTCGGTAAGTCTATCTTATAGCAATTGTATCCTTAATAAATGCCAAGAAAAAAATTTGTCTGCTTAGAGTCCCACAATTCGATTGGAGAAATGTGCATAGAGTAGGTGGAAACATTTACTAATTTTCAAAATTTTTCTGCACTATATAGTACTAAGTTAAAGCCTCAAGCCTCACCAACCAAACAGTTAACTTACATGTCCAGGCTTATAATGTTACGAGATAATTAATTTTAAGGGAGATTAGTGTAATTTTTGAAATTTGGAGGAAATAGTCAGGAATTTGTGAAATAGTCAGAAATCTCAAAGGGAGTTTATGAAATTATCTCTTTGTAATAAGGGTGATTAAAAGCCCCAAACGTCATCGTTTATTTTAGTGGCAGTTATTTTTATAAATAATGGCTGTGTATTAAAGGCAAGGGATGTAACTGAAATTGGTATTTGATAACTTAATTAAAGATTCACCCTTCCTGCTCAATTATCGCTCTCTTCATATCTCTCTTTCTTTTCCTCTTTTTCTTTCCGTCTTCTTTTCCTTTTCTCTTTGTGTCTTCATTCTGCACTTATTCTTCTTTATTCTAAGCTACTAAAATCTTCCTATTGATTCTAGTTATGACAATTGATATCAGAGCCGTCGAATCCTTGCCGCACTAAGACTAATTTCACGGTGGAAAACCTAGATATCAGTCTTGTTACACCCAAATCATTGCATAAGTTCAGCATAGTTTTGTCTCTTTTAATTCATTGATCGTCTAAATAATAAAGATGTTTTAGTAGTGCCAATAATTATCCAATCTTCCTCATGGGATCGACCCGATATCTGTCATAAACTACTAATTTGACCTGTATACTTGCAGTCAAAACGAATATATTTCGGAATTGAACTTGTACTTATACTAAAAACCCGTCAGTTACCGAAATTAAAACTTTCATTTATTAATATAAATAAGAAAACGCAAATCACTTAGTGTAAACACCAAAATCACTTGATTCCCTAAATGATCTAAATCAAGAAGTTTTCATTCCTATCATCTTATCAATTTAGTATCAGTGATTCCAACTTGCATTAATTTGTTTTAATTTAATTTTTCCAATACTTTTGGAGAATGGACATATTTTAGCCATGAAATTACATTTTTATATATAATTTTTAGGTGTCAGTTTGATTGTAAGTCTAATATGTTTGGAATATTTTATATAGTTGGCCGGCATAACCAAGAACTTAATTTCAATATTTTTGAAACTTATATAAATATAAAATAATTATGACATCATGCTGATATCAACGAAATTTTTAGAACGGTCTGACCGATTCGACCAGTTGACCACTGATCTAATATTTTAGCTGAGTCATTATTCGGTCCGAGTTTAACAACATTGCCAGATATTGCTCTCTTGAGGAACAAATCAAGCAACAAGAAACTCGCCTTCAAGAAGGGTTGGACTCAATGGCTGCATTTCAAGTGAACTGCCAGCAGACTCTATAGCAGAATTTGCAGCAGCAATTCCACGATGAGTTGGAAGAAGAATCATGGAGCTTGGTGGTTGGGACATAATCCTAGGTGTTGATTGGATGTGTCATTTCAATCCAATTACCTTTGATTTCCATAAGTTAAGCATTGCTCTCAGCAATGAGAGGGAACTAGTACATTTGGCTTTATTAATTAACCAGTGATGGAGTTGGTGAAAGGAAGGACCTCAGGACATTTATACAGGACAAAAAAAATGTCGTGCTTCCATGCAATTGGACATGATAAATGTATGAGTTAGTGAAACTCTTGGAGAAGTCAAAGCTGTGTTGCAACAATTTTCCAAAGTATTTGAGACTCCACAAGGCTTGCCACTAAAGAGATCATTGGATCACCAAATTACACTCAAACTAGGAGCTAAGCCTTTCAAATTAAAACCATGCAGGTATCCTTATGCCCATAAAACTGAAATTGAGCAGCAAGTTGCTGAAATGTTAACCAATGGAATTATAACACATAGTGGTAGCGCTTTTGCATCTCCTGTTTTGTTGGTTAAAAAGAAGGACAACACTTGGAGGTTGTATGTAAACTACAGGAAATTGAATGAAATGACTGTCAAGGACAGATTTCCTATTCCCAATATTGATGAGTTGTTACATGAACTGCATGGCA